GTTGTTGTTGTTGTTGTTGTTGTTGTTGTTGTTGTTGTTATTGTTGTTGTTGTTGTTGTTGTTGTTGTTGTTGTTGTTGTTGTTGTTGTTGTTGTTGTTGTTGTTGTTGTTGCTACTGTTGTTATTGTTGCTACTGTTGTTGCTGTTACTATTGTTATTATTGATCTTGTTGTTTATTGTTATCTTATGATCAAGATGAGATTTGAAAAACAGAAAAAGAAAAAATGAAACAATAGGTGATAAGAAAACCACAAGAATTATATTTCTATTATTTCTGTGTGCATGTATGTGCATGTGTATATGTGTGTATGTGTACGTGTGCATGTGTGTATATGTGTGGGTGTGTGTGTGTTTGCGTGCACCCATCTGTCTGTATAAAATATATTCCATCTGGCCATGCCTTTCCTTTGAACCTAACAACTATTTCTTCCCCACCCCTTCATCGCTTTTCCTACATATAACCATACATACTGCTGAATATTGTTGTGCCTACAATTTACACAGACACACACATGGGGCGCGCAATTACCCTAGGCCTCACAATGCTCTTCACAATCACAAGTATGCATCGCCAGTCAGGCCTGGTGAGACCATAAGCAACACCATAGCTTAGGCATCCCCTTCTACATTTATCGATCTTCTCTTTTACCTCGCTTCTTTCTTCTCTTAGCTTACTTTACGATTTTTAAGGCCTGTACAGTATATCAAATAGAATTGTATCGTTAATGCAGCAGTTAGCCAAGAGTTTGTTAGTCTTTATGGTTGATAAACCGGAAATTTTAGGGTTTGGCTATCTCTGACATGTAATTGTCCCACAAATCGAGAAATATACTGGAAAGGAATGTTTCTACAGTGCTTGTATGAATATCCAATATGTTCATTTTTAAATAAATAATCAGTCCTTGAAAATAAATAAATCGGTATTCTCGAATCGTAGTTGATGACATCTAACCATTTATTGGATTAAACGGAGTGGTATCTGAAAAGATTCCGATAAGGTGCTGTCTGGCGTTTATGGTAGTAGTATCTGGCGTGTGTGTGTTTCGTGTTATTGCTTCTTTATTCAGGATAACCCCGAATAATTTCGATGAGTAAATAATAGGTTTATATACAGAAAAAAAAAGAAAAATTATGCACTAAGTTTAATTATGAGATTTTTTAAATAAAATCCGAATTAAGGATACTATCGGAATTTTTTGATGAATTTTTGCGAGTCCCAATGATAGTAGTAATCCTTGTCCGAGATTTTCCGAACTTCCTGCTATCATCAGCATTGGAAAAAAAATCAAAAAAAAACTCAATTTATGGAATTGAAAAGGAAACATTTTAAATTTCCTGTCTTTTCGAAGCAAAGGTGATGGAAAAAGGTTGAAGTACTTTATCTGCTTTAAAAAAATTTCTAAACAAAAAATTTTCAACTTGTTAAATTTCATTCCGCTGCAATCATCATCCACAGATATATATATATATATATATATATGCCTGTTAAAAACGAAATAAATTTTACGATCTTTCGAAGATCCGGAATTCTGAAATTTGAGATATCCTAATAAAACTGTTCATATTTCCAGTGGCATTTCAACTTTTTGTATTGTTTATTTCTCCTTTTTTTCTTTACGTTCTTTCTACCATTAAAAAATGACCATTTCAAGCATAAATTGTATGATGAAAGCTTTTCACATCGATTGTTTACGATATTTCTGAAATTACAAATGTTTTGTAAATAATATAGAACAAATACAAAGTAAAATAGGATAAATAGACAGTTTCATTACTAATGATAATTATTATTAATTACAATAATAATTATATCAGTAATAACACTTTTTATTCATCTTACTTTATTTTGCATTTGTCCTATATTATTTTGTTAATAGTATAATTTTTATTATAATTATTTTTAAGTAAGATTAAGCGTGGAAATGAAGAGCAGTTGACAGATTAATGATGATGATGGTAGTAATGATGATGATGATAGTGATGATAGTGGTGATGACGATAGTGACGGTGATGATAGCGATGGGAGTAATAGTAGTGGTTCAATTCAGTATATTAAAGTTATTGTAAGGTGGTATGATAGTAGTGGCTGGGTTAGTTTTGGTCTCGATGGTTGTCGTCGTTTCTCAAAGTCTAATCGGATTTTGTGCTGTGAGTCTTGTGCTCCTCGTCCCCTCTCCTTTTCCTTTCCCTGTGCCCATGATTCAATACGTTTCCATGATGTTGTTTTAAAGACTCTGTGGTTGACAGGCAAGAGGTACCAGAAGCCTTGAGTGCCTGTATCGATCTTTGGTACAAATATATTTATACCCTGTGGCTAAAGCTTGTTCCATTTTCTCATCTGTCCTGTTCTCTCCCATTCTCGTGTCGCTCATCTGTTGTCTCCATTTGGCTAGATGACAGACTGATTTAAACCAAGTAAATTTAAAGCTTTTCATCATTCACCAGACATTTTGTTCCTAGAAGCAACAAAGGCAAAGTAGTTATCGGTGTAGCTTCAATACATTGCGAATGTATTCAAGCAAGAAAATGCTTCCCTATTTATCCATCTTCTATTTTAACTATCATTATTTTTGACCAAAATTTTTTCATTCTGATATGTTTTTAAATTATTAAATCTTTACTGTCTAAGAAGAGATAATCTTAATACTACTAATATTAATACCAATAGGAATAATATACTAATAACTACCGTTATTACCCTTATTTTTAGTGTTGGAAATTTCACTTTTTACTGTTAGTTATTACTGCCGTTGTTATTGTCTTCATTGCTGTTGTTATTGTTGTCATTGCTGTTGTTGTTGTTGTCATTGCCGTTGTTACTGTTGTCATTGGTGTTGTTGTTGTTGTCATTGCTGTTGTTATTGTTGTCATTGCTGTTGTTGTTATCATTGCTGTCGTCATTGCTGTTGTTGTTGTTGTTGTTGCCTTCGTTGTTTTTATTGCTATTATTATTCATTATTATTATTACTATTAATCACTAATAATAATAATAATAATAATAATAATAATAATTATTATTATTATTATTATTA